TCTTGAAAAATTCACAGTTGTTCTAGGACGAAAATAGATTTTCGAGTAACTTACATCAGAAGACTTAGAATCTGGTAAATAAAATACTTACTTTTACAGGGACAAACTCACGAGAAGAAACCTTCAGATTAAATATTAGAGATTTATTTTTTCACAGAATTTTTCACACCCACTTGAAAAATAAAAGTTAAAGTTCATTGCTAAATTATGTTTGCATTAGGATGAAAAGTCTAGAAAAAAAGGAGTAAACTATGTTTTTCTTCATGTATCAATTCTCTATTTCAAAACAACTAGCAAAATTCATTTTAGGAAATAATTTTGCCGAATAGTTTAAGGAATTTTAAATCGCACGGTATTCTGACTGTTTGGCAATCCAATCTGCTCTATCTAAAACTCGTGGTAATTCGATTGCTGACACAAGTGTAATAACATCAATCACGAATGAAATTATATATTTTTTACAGTTAGAAGATCATGAAAGTAAAGACCAAATTGTTAGTGATCTGTTAGAAAGCGGTTGACAATCATTAGTCAAATATCAGAAAGATATTATATACGAAATCTATACACATGTTATGGATGGCAATGAAAACAAACTGATTATCTTATTAAAAATGTATTTTCAACAAAAATGGGAAACAGAATATGGTGCTTCTTCTAATCAATGGTTTATTTCATTTATTAAAAAATATCAAAATGGAGAAAATCATAATATATATGAACGTATTTTAACTTGTACAGCTGAGTATGGAAACACTTATATGAAAAATTGTCCAATATTATCAATTATTTTACAACTTCTGTTCGAATTTATTGATGATAAGTATTTGAAAGAAACAAATATTTTCGATGATCTATGGTTCACAATAACTATTAATGGTTTAAAATCAATAACAAAATATTCTGACTATATTATTGAAGACGTAATGAATGAACAATTAAATAAAAGTCAGTCAACATTATTTCAAGCATTACGTGAATATTATCGTCAAGCAGTATTTTTAAAACTTCAACAAAGTTATATTTTAGATGAGCAAAATTTGTATGATTTAGTATTAGATAATGTTACTGAACATGGTTGGTTAGTAGGTTTACAAGAAATTCGAAACAAGATCCCATGGAAATCTTATAATAGATTATTAGAAAACGTTTCATGTTTTCTAAAATAAAAGACAACATTATTTGTCGATATGCAATCAAAATCAACTTTTAATAAACAACAAGAAAAACAAGGTAATCATTCTTTGGCTATAATTCATTTTTTGCCTTCAACTTTAATTGTTTATCGCTGCTCTCAATTCGAAAATGAAGGATATTTAATAAGATATATTTATAGCTGGTCTTCCAATAACTGGAGAGAATATTTTTGTTTTGGTAATATATGTCTATGGGACCTTTTAGAACTTAAGTCACTTGGGACAACTTATCAAATTAGATGAGTGAAAAATATAAAAGTAGAACAACATGGTACGGACTGCAACCAGTTTCTAGTACAAGTACTTAGTTCAATGTATTCTACTGGCCTAAAAACGTACTCTGCTATCAATATGTCATAGGAATTAGTCAGTTATTGACTAGATTTAGTTGCTAGGCAACATAAATTTTGACCCAACGAATTTTCGGGGCGGACCTTTGGTCTGGCTCAAAAGTTCTGAAAGAATTTCGACTGGTGTTTAAATTAACCTCATTAACCACTATAAACAAATTTCTTTCTTCAATAAGTTCCTACATTCTGTAGCACTAAACAGAATAACATAGTGTGGAGGATGAGGATCAAAAGAGATCCACATTCACACTCATAACTTCGTCGGTTCTACTGTCTAATATATATCATGTTTATGTTGAAAAAAATGTTTGCCTTCATAATGGGCATACATAATAGATCACTTTCTGTTCTTTGTTTTTCTTTAACTACATGAGAATAAAATAATGTTAGATTCTTACAAGGCATTCTATTTGATAAAGCATTAAAAAGAAACTGTCGTAGAGATATGAAAAGCATTCAAAGATGAAAAATGTAGTATCTATATGTCTGTCTTCTATCAAATACTATTGTACAGATAGATGATATTCTACTGAATTATGAAAAATACAATATCTTTCGTTTATGGTACTCAACGTGTACACGCTCCCCTCAAATCAAATAGAAAAATAACTAGAGAGCAATATCAAATATATCATACTCTTCATCCTAGAGAATTTGTAAATTCTAAGAGTTCGATAATTTTGATTGCTTAGGTTTTCTAGAGATACAAGTCAATGACAAAGGATTATGTTGAATGTTCAGATAAAAATAGTAAAATATTTTTATGTAATATTTGTTTTTCAGAAGAAAGTGAACATAGAATAGTTCCATTGGATGTTTATGATAATATAACAGTTCGATTTCGAAAGACCAACACTCTTTATCGGGTACGTATATATCAAGATATGACCGTGAAAGATTTAATTGCCGATGTTTGCCGACAAGCTAACACAAACATCTGCAACAATTGTTACTTATGGTTTGATTCACGCGAATTAAATATTAATGACACAATTTTTGAAGCTGATCTTTACAGATCATGGAATTCAACAAAAGACTTACCAGAAATTCGTTTAAAATATATACAGATTCTTCAATCAGCAATTCATATTGGTAAACAAATTTTTCTTGCATCACCTGAACATATTTCTTATAATGAACTTTTTGATATTTCTCTACCGTCCACCAAAAATAGTATTACCCCAAGTGTTGTAAAGAAAATCGCTGAACAGATTATTCAACGTGAATCATCAGTTTCTCAATCGCTCCATAATAACGGCGCTGTATTTATTCCGTTACCAAATTGTTCAAGACAGTTAATCGATTCACTTCCGACGATAATCTTAACGGCACCACTCTCCCCAAATCAATTCGATTGGAATGTATTTCTTGAATGCTTAGCAGATGATCTTGAAATCAACAGAACTGATTTGATTATTGTAAATGTGGAACAAGGTAGTACTAAATTTAAGATCAAGTTACGACCACAATTACCTCAGGCTTTAGAAACCGTCAATAAAATTGCAAAAAAACTGCTGGTTATGGTTTTACCCAAGTGTGAAAAATTTGTTGCTAAACATACAATATCAATGAAAACTGAAATACAAGTCGAATTGGAAAACTTTGCTGAGAAAAAAATCATTGAAGATAAAAGTTGTCTCTCTCTTGAAGAGATTGATCTTGCTCTTCGTCTTTGCGAACGACCTGCAATTATTGAGAATAATAGTTGGAAATTTTTGATAAATAAGAATCGTCATATTAGTACCTGTCTTATGCAGTCGATTCAATCGTGTAGTGATGAATATGTTATTGATCATGTTTCGATTGTTTACAATGAACAGATTTACGATAAATATCAAAACTTAACAACGACTGATAAAAATGAGAGAATCTTGTTTCATGGTACAAGTACTATCAATATCAACGGAATATTCGAACAAAATTTTCAATATAATTCTCGTGTAAAACGAACGGATAGAGGTTGGTATGGACAAGGCATTTATTTTAGTAGATCGCCAAAAAAAGCTTTAAATTATGCTAAATCGAATTCAGCTTTTTCTTATGTAATATGTAGCCTTGTTCGATTGGGTAAAACATTAACGGTTACAGACATGAGATATAAAGGCAAACCTATGCATCCGGATTACGATAGTCATTATATACCTGTAAGAATTGATGGAGATCCTATCTCTAAAGGAGAAACTCTAACTTTTGAAGAATTTGTTGTTAAAAAGAGCGAACAAATTATGCCATTGTATATTACTGGATTATTAAAAGTGTCGTGTTTTGTTATTTGGCGTGATGCAAAAATTACAAATGAAGCTAACTCTTCTATATTCGAAGATATGAAACAACGTTATGCTTTTAATATCTATGGTACACAAACTAGTATTGAAGCAATCAATATTTTAAATATTAAATTGATAAATAATGACTGTATGAAATGTGTTGTCGTATCGAATGGATCCGATGATGGTGAAGACTTTGTCAAACGATGCCGATCAATACGATCGTCTCTACCGATAATTATCTTTTGTCAGAATAAAAGTTATCATAAAAAATGGGCTGCAACATTACCAAACCCCAAGATTAATGTAACCAGTAGTCCTGAATAAGTGTTTGATTTTATTACTAATACATTACAAAAATAATATTTATATCTGATAGATATTTTTCTTTGTCATCTTGATAATTTCGATTTTAATAAATAGTAATGAATTGTAAATATAAAATATTCATTATTCATATTATACGATAACCAGATTACAAAATGTTGAAAGAATTATTTGACAAAAAAGTATTTCAAAAAGAAAAAATCTTCACTTCAGTTCTTTATACTTGTGATGATTTCAAAGTGTTCTTGTGTATTATGCAGTAAAAAATTTTAATGTGGTGAAAGAAACAAAAGGTCTATCATGTACTAATGAAAAAAGTTAATAATTATTCACTAATAATTCACTCATTATTATTCGTATGTGATTTCTAAATAAAATAGTTTTATTTATTTTGATAAATCTATTGAATTATATTATTATAGACAGATAATAGATGTTTTCATATTTCGTTAATTCTCTATGGATCATTGTGTTAGCTGTTTGATAGAACAACATGTCTTAGTTCTTTTAACGATAGTGTGTTTCTATCAACAAAGAAATAAAAACGTCTCATTATTGTATTTGTTTTTCGACTTCCTTTATTATTATTTTATTCAATTCCTTCATAATTATTCGACCATTCTTCTATTACACGTGACAAATGTGATCGAATCTTACCTCCATGTAATACAGAATTATTTCTGAGTATTGAATGTTGTTGAAAGAAACGTCTTGTCACATTGAAGAAAAATAAATGATTAAAAGATTAAAGCGTAGATAAAGTTAAACATTTGTATTTGTTTTTTTGGTTTCTCTCATCTAGATCTCTTATCTTTGAAATTTATTTCTCATTGAAAGTCTCGCATCATCTTTTCTGAAGCTTTAGCCAATTATCATAATTGTATTCAAATATATAAAGTTCTTTTTTCGTGTGCATCTTGAGGATGTGAGTGTTGATCTTTTCACAAGAAAAATATTTGCCATGATAAATATTCATTGAGCGTTTCATTCTATTCACGAATTAAATCAAATAATATGGAGACGGTAAAATTCGTTTTTTTTTATTTTTTATGGAATTTAAACATAATGACTTATGTAACAAGAAAAACAATATATATATATATATAGGATTCTCTTGTCAGTCTAAATGAATTAAACTTCTCTTGTATTAAAGCTGGTTGCTAATTACCAAGACTTGAATCATAATTGTAATTGCATATAAACGTTTATCACGAATTTTCAGCCATATTTGAATGTTTAATTTATTTTATTATTTAAGAGTCATGATAGAAGTTTTTGTATTTGTGTATCCTTTCATATGGCTGATGATTTTTTTGTGCTGTTACAGTATGAATTGAAGATGTTTCGATCATCAGTAATATAAAATATAGAGGTGGCATCCAAAATAGCAATATAAACAGGTTACAATACATGCTTTATTCGATGGTAAATAATGATAAATGCAGCACAACAAACATTAATAAAATAAAGAAATTATTGACGTTGTTAGACAAATCAAATAATGTCTTTTCTAAATGTTTTTTCTTAGATTTCTAAGAAAGTTAATTTTATTTGTTTTGATTTTAGTTATCACTATTGTTGTCTAACATGAATTAATAAATTGTTAGTATTTTTTTTCTTCATTTATCATACTTCGTACTATTAGATTAAGTGCGACAAATACTTAGTGCAGATTATCGAGCTTTTGAAAATATACTACAATTGAAATCGATAGCAGAAAACGGTTGATTAACAAATTCAGTTATCCAAATCTAAGAGTTACATTGAACTTTCATCATGGATGCATTTATTTTGAAACTATTAAAATATAAAATTAACAAAACAACATTTCAACATGATAGATACTCGGTAGACAACTAAGGGATTAAATATATTGCAAGAAAGTTTCAATAAAATTCTTATAAATTCTTATTCTATTTTCATCGTGGAGGATACACGTTAGATGATTTTTATATTAAATTTTTTTTTATTATGTTCAAACGTAAGATCAATTCTCCTTTCTATTTTTACAGATTATTGTCGACTTGAATGATACTCATCTGAACTTTTCGATGTAGCCATACTTCATTTGAAATATCGTCTTTGTTCTGAACATTTATTACCTACAGTTGTTGATGACGCAACCGCATTTTATCATGCTCTTTTTTGCAATAATATTTTGTCTTCTCAATTACTGATTTTTGCTTTGTTATTGTTCTATCTTCATGAATTACTCATTCAATATTCGGTAAAAGTTATACACGCCATGATGAAATTTATGCAGCACTTAGTATCAAGAATACCAAATAGATTGGGTGAAAATTATTAGGTTCAAATCATTCACAATCATCTCTAAAATATCCTTTGAACGATTTCTATTAGAGTCTTGCTGTACGGAGTCGATTTCGGAGTCAACTAAAATTTTTGCTAAAAATTTCGATTTAGTATAAGAATTTTTTTGAATTGTATCCTTTGTTCTCTGATATTTACTGTATAAACTGATGTATTTTGAAGGTTTCAACGAGATCTTATCCAGGTCTATGAACAAGAGGAAAAGTTGAAGTCGAACAAAATTGGAGTTGACTTTTACTCCGACTTTCTTTTTTGTCCATAGACCTTGACAAGATGTCGTTGGAACCTTCAAAATGCATCAGTTTATACAGTAAATATCAGAGAACAAAGGATACAATTCAAAAAAAAAATTCCTATACTAAAGCGACATTCTAACAAAAAAAAATTAGTAGACTCCGATGACGATTCCGAAATCGACTTCGTGTAGGGTTTTAGTTTTTATCCATGTATATCAGTGTATATATACCTGAAATATGAGAAGATGATTTAAGATGACTTTTCAAGATATACAGGTCGATATAACATTTCAAGAAGGTTTACATTTGCTGCATATGTATTCAGTGTGTGTCATTAATTTTGTTAAAGCACAAAACTTACTCAATAAATTTAACAAATCGATTCAAATAATCTTTTATAAAAACTACGATAGATAAACATAATCTCGTTTGTACTCTATTTTACTTTGACAAAACTATGCTGTCGTCTCTCTTTATCTACTAAATGCTAACTATTAGCTAATATTTTTTTTATAGTGATTAAATAAGATTTCTTCAAGTTATAGTAATGCATTTTGATAAAAATGTCCAGTATTATTTGTCAATTTTATCATTGTAAATAAAATTAAGTTGATCTTCTAAAGCGCAATGGAGATTTTTTTTTTTGAATACTACCTCCTTTCATTCACTTTACATAAATTTATATGTTATTAGGAACGTTATATAATGATATTATTTTTCCTTGAGTAAAGTACATTTATTGGTGTGTTATCAAACTGATGAAAACAGAGAGAAAAAAAGAAAAATTTGCACTTAACTCTCCAGACATATAGTGACGAAATTGACCATGTATGTAAGTAAGAAAGAAAAAAAAAAGAGAAATAATCTTTTCTACATAATTTACAGAATGTCATATCGAAATCGTTTCTTTGGAATCTTAAAAAAATTGACCTTATTCAGTTTGATTGTGGCTGTTGCCATTCCCCTCTATTATAGTTCAACAAGTCATCAATATGTTTGTCTTCGTTTCTATCACTCAATGTTATCACTGAAATATTCTCTCATATCAGATCAATCTCGACCAACTCTTAGTGCTGATTATCGAGCTTTTGAAGAAATAATGCTTAATGTACCTTTAGCAGAATTAGATCAAAAGGTAGATATACTTAATGTTATCAAAGATTTACGTACAACTTTCACAATGAATACCATTATTCCTAAACCCTCACAATGTCAAATCAACAAAGAAGCATTTCAACATGATGAACAATTAGTAGATACTTATTGGATAAATTATTCTACGAAAAAGTTTGAAAAAAATTCTGATAAACTATTAGTTTATTTTCATGGTGGAGGATATATGTTAGGTGACATTCATAGTAAGCTGAGTTTATTATATTCAAAGAAAAGATCATTTTTTTTTTTGTTTTTATATATTTAAAGGTTATAGTGGATTTGAATGTCATTTGTCTTATCTTTTCAATTTAACCATACTTCATTTGGAATATCGTCTTTGTCCTGAACATCCATTACCTGCATGTGTTGATGATGCAGTTGCACTTTATCATGCACTTCTTCGTAATAATATTTCACCATCTCAAATACTTATTATGGGCGATTCAGCAGGTGGTGGTCTTTCTCTACTAACTATTCAAACTTTAATTGCTCGTCAATTATCTATTCCCCGTGGTGTTATTGTCCTATCACCATGGACAGATCTTTCAGCATCTGGTGAAAGTTATAAGCGTAATCGTCAAATTGATATAATATTCCGTAATACCAAGGAGGATGACGATGAAATTGTTAAATTAATGTTGGGTCCTAATCATTCTCAATTATCTGCTGATAATCCTATTTTTAGTCCGTTGTTTGGTTCATTTGAAGGATTTCCACCTATGTATATCAATGTAGGTACAGCTGAAATATTAGAAGATGATTCAAGACGAGTTTTAAATAAAGCACAAGAAGCTCGTGTAGCTGTTACATTTGAAGAAGGTTTACATTTGATGCATGCTTATCCAGTATTTTTTCTCTATTATCCTGAAGCACGAAATACACTTAATAATATAAACAAATGGATTCAACAAATCTTTGATGAAAAACTTAATGAATAAGTCTATCTTTCTTTTCTCTCTTATTTCACTTTGACGAAAATATGTTGTTTTCTAAGAAAATAAACAATACTAGAGATTATCTCATTTATTGCGTTTTCATTTGATAGTTATCAGTATTTTTTTTTTATATTGGTTTAAAAGACTTCTCATTTTTTTTTTCTTTCAAATATATTCTTAAAAACATACATATATAGACAGAGGAGGATTCACTTATTTTTATTAGTTTTCTTCAATTTTTTGTATCTCTACAATACTTCAGAAGTTTTTTATTTCTATATGATTAGACAGAGCATTTATTACTTTGTCCATCTGTATAGTTTTCTTTTGATTTATTTAATGTATTGATGAAAAAAATCAGAACATTCTTAGAACTAGTCCAATAAAACTTTTCTACAAGTCTACTTCACTTCAACTCAATCTGATTTTTCGCTAACATACTTTTAGTTTGGAGAAATACGTCAAAACTTAAAATTACACAAAATATAGACTAAAATTGTTTTGAATTTGAGGAGAAAATTCAATTTCACTATTGAAGTTTGAACACATTTGTAGCACTAGATTTTCAATATTGTCTCTACTAATTTTAACTCGAATTTACCTGCAAGCTCTTCTAACTAAATCAAGCTAAAGTTGCACGAGTCAGTCAATAGAGAAATTTTTGCTCTATCTAACTGTATCGCAATAGGAAAAAATTGAGTAGCTGAACAACTAAAACACTATGGACAAAACTAAATAATCGAATTTTTATCAAAAACATTTGTTAGAAATTCACTCGAATTTCCGTGAAACTGAGAAATAGATAGAATGAAAATGGATAATTTAATAGAGAAGTGAATTCTCTATCTAACTGTGTCAAAACAAAAGATATACATTTGTCTTATTTCTTTGTAATTGCTCAAATTCCTCAAAGAAAATATCGCTAACATTCCACAGAAAAAAAAAAAAAGTTCTTTTTAACCTTCTCGGAATTTATTCATTTGTTCCATAAAAGTATAAAATAAATGAAAAGAAAATTTTACAGATAGATAGAGTAATCAATGCTCTCTCTAATCACATAGAAATAAAAAAATTTGAAGTCTTGTAGAGATAGAGTAAAACGAATAAAACTAGTAAAACTAAGTGAAGCATCCTATGCCCATGGAAAAAATTAGCTGCAATTCGTATTTCAGTTACATCTTTACCATAATAAAACTTTGTTTTAAACAATAATTACATATTTTTTTTCTTCGGCTATAGATGAATTTTCATTTGCACCTATGTATTATCAAAAGAAAATTGAGTACAATGAAGTTACCCTCATGTCCAAATTTTCACCGATTTGATTTTTTGACTTTCATCAAAACTAGTTTTTTAAATTTTTCAGCACTATAAAATAATATTTTGAAAAAATTAATTATATATTCTGATAGAACTTGAAGTTCTTTATCGTCTTGTATATTTATTTATTTTCTTATATTCATTTATTCAAAGAAAAATTTCAGTACAATGAACACATTGTCAATTGACAAGTAACTAAAATCATTCCTATTATCTTTTTTTTTTTTTTTAAATATGATTACTATGATAAGAAATTTAAAAAAAAAGCAATCATAGATTCTAACATAGCTTAAAGCTCTCTATTATCCTAGATATTTTTGTCTTGCCTTGCATTTGTATGCTGCAATACGCAACTGCAATACAGGTAGCAAATATGCAAGATGATAGAACATTTCAAGCTCTATCAGAACAAATATTTACTTTTTTCAAAACATTATTTTATAGTGATGAAAAAATTTAAAAACTAGTTTTGATGATAGTGAAAAAATCAAGTTTATGGAAATCTGGACATGAGGATACTTTTCATTGTACTCAATTTTTCTTGGTAATACATAAATGCAAATGAAAATGCATCTATAGAGAGAGATAGAAAACTCCACGGGCTTTCGAAATGTGTAATTAGATTTTAAAAAAAAATATTGTTATAATAATGATTTAACTGAAATACTAAGTGCAACTATTTTTTTCCATGGGTATACATATTTCAAGAAAAATCACTTAATTACATATTAATCAAATTTGTCTTCTATAAGATTTAAAATAACTATCGGTACTCTTTGACGAATGATAACATTTTGCATTTGTTCTAATATTGATTCTGTTATTGATCATGTTTGTTGTGATTCTAATATTAATAATGCAATGAATTTTCTGCTTGTTTTCTTTTCATTGTTTCCTTAATTATAGAATATCGATAAAGAATCCATTTTCATGTTTGATCATAGTCCTCCATATATAAACGTTCCGTATGCATTGACATTGAACCAAATACTAAATGTGGTTGATTTTGAAAATTTAAAGAACAGTTATCATATGATTGTGAATATTCTGTTTACTAAGAACTACATTGAACAGCTGCTGTACTAACAAGAGAACCAGAGACAAACAAAATAATCAATCGAAGAAGTACATTTGATGACTATTTACATCAATAAGTTATGTCTTGTAAACAAATGATGAAAACATATAATTAATTTCTATTAAAATTAATAGATAGTACTAAAATTATATTTACACAATTTATCAGATCTTCGAGACTAAACAAATTGTATTGATGAAAAAATCTATATAAATATAACTAAATCTGTAGAGAATTATTTTTTGTTGAAAAATTTCTGACAAAACCTTTGTGTTTTTGTATTTATTTTATATTTATTTTAAAGACATAGCTTTTTGAAAATAATAATATAAGTTATACCTACAATAATCTGATAAATAGTTATGATTCAAAGTTAGAATATGTTGAAAAGATTTTTGACAATGGATTATTTTACGTTCATCTGTATAAATTTCTTTGAATAAAGTAGATTTATTATAAGATTATATTTTTTAAGTAAATTCTTTGATTTTATGTTGTTTTTGGCAATAATTACCATTATAAATTCTACTGTTAATAACAAATCTTACTTTATCATTTAATAATATTCTATCTATAATAATATGATCATCTGTTTTAAATAAACGAGGTATGTGCGATGAATAAATATGTGAAAATTTTAATTGAGTAATTTATTGATAAACAATGTTTTAAAAAGTTATATTTAAGTTCAATTGAACAATATCACAATATATTAAACTTTTTTTAAAAGAAAATATGAACATTTAAAAATGAATTATTTGTTAAACTAATAAGAAATATGAAAGAACCTTGAAATAATTGTTTGTATTGATATTTATTTACTTATATACGACATATTTCTTGTCCTTGTTTGATATGATCTGTTTTTGAAAGAATATAAACCAAGAGAATTTCATTCGATTTTAAAATTTTCGAATATTTTAATGAAAACTTATCTGTGGAATCTACACGAAACTATTTTTTCAGTAGAAGACGCAAACTAAAGGCATATATGTAAAGGATAACAATTAGTTTTCTTACTAATATTGTCTCATTATTATTATTTTTTTTAATGAATATATTATTAAATAAAGACGAAATAAAATAAGTCCGAACATAATAAAAGATATGATAGCAATATAATCATATACATATATATATATATGTCAGTGTCCAAACTGAGATTACGCCCAATCTCAGATTGGCCTAGGCGAATGTAGAATCCGAGATTGAATGCGTCCAATCTCGGATTGACGCAATTCTGTTCACTAAAAAATCAATTACTCTTTAGATAGACGTTGGATTAGAACTATTTTTTGAAATTATGTTTGCACAATGCCGTTTTAAGTATTACAAGCATTTAGGAAGAAACTAAATTTAGATTCAAAAATTTAATAAAAATTTTTCATCAAAGTTGTTGATTTCTAGAAATTTATTCATAACTCTTAAAATTTTACTAAAATCTACCAAATCACAATTGTTCCAAATACACAGGCATTGTGTGAACATAGTTCAAAAAAAAATAATTTGAATCCAACGTCTATCTAAAGAGTAATTAATATTTTAGTGAACAGAATTACGTCAATCCGAGATTGGACGCGTCCAATGTCGGATCCAACATTCGCCTAGGCCAATCTGAGATTGGACGTTATCTCAGTTTGGACGCTGACATATATATAAGAAAGACACAATATTTAATACTTATTTCTATTCAATCAAATAGGAAAAAAGAGAACTTTTCATTTTTTTTTTTTTTTTTTTTTTTATCATTGACTTGTATCGGATGAATGTATTTTATTTAATACAATGATGACCAAGCAAAAGATAAACGTAGAGAGTGTTAAAATGTATCCGACTCATGCAGTATATTCGAATACAACGAAACAATCGTCTATCTTGAAAATTTCATTGAATCGCTAATCGATAAAAATATGTTGTGTTTATATATCTCATCTGAATGTAACATCTAACAACCGGATGCGATGTCGCTAGTAGCTATATTCATTTCTCTCATTTAATTTCTATTTTTTTTTTCTTCATTTCGTTTGAAACAAATATTTGCCATGTGCCTTTCATTCGCTTGTTTTGTCTAATCGCATAACATGTCCATCGGACACATCCAATTCTAATTGTTTTTCTTTCTCATGTGACCGTCGACGGGCGCCACCAGTCCTCCCATCTATGTCAAATTTTGACACATATGCCCGTCGGTTACTAACGTACACAAAAAAAAAAAGTCGACAAGAGAAGAATAAGGAAATTGGAAAGTGGCCAAGTAGGAAAGAAAAATTTTATTTATGGGCATTGAGCCAATTGGCTGAGAGAAAAGAGGGGAGGACGAGGTCAAGCAAGAACAATGGCCGTCGGATGTATTTTTTTCTCTCGTCCGCGTTCATTTCCTTCTTTTTTTTTTTCTACACTGTGCCTATATAAAGAAGATGCATGTCAGACATTGTCCGAGCGTTAACCAACGGGTAAGGTCATCCAAAATTCGATCATAACGAAACGATGAGATAAGGTAAATCGATTTATGTTAAAAAGATCTTCTATGAAAGACATGGGTAGTGAGATGTTGATTTTTGATTTGTCACCTTACTAGTCTGTCTTTCCAAAGAATGTCTTTTTT